ACTTAGAAGATTTAATCATTTTCGAATAACCACAAAGAAACCTCCAGATATGTCACAAGATAGACAACAAGAGACTGTTACAGACTCATTCATGCTGCCCCCATATCAATTCACCATTCTATTTAAGAACTCAGATACTTTCAGAATATTGATCAGAAGGACTCCAGTGAACTCCCTGAACCTGCATTACTGTACACATCCATCATAGCTACTGTCCAGCTCCTACCTTGTAAATCAATACTGAAGCCACATGCAGCTCTACTCTAGACTGTGGCAGTTTCTGAAGCCACGCCAACTGAAATGCTCTGACTGACAACCACCAGGGATAATAAACCAGCAAAGCAATGGCATCATCATCACATGGGTTTGAGCTATTCCTGCTCTCATGCCCAACCTTTTCCCTCAAAAATCAAACAAGATGCATATGCAGCAAAATTAAACAAATCTCAACTGCTCACGCTGGTCATGTTGGGCATTGATCCACCTTGCACAGAGTTGATCAAAAAGCCCTGTTTTAGACTGGTTCCTTCTGCAGTGCTTGCAAGGAGTCTGCCAATAATCACAACTAAACACTACAAGCAAGCACTTTTAATTGAGCCATCGCACGTCTCAGCAAAGTAATGATGCCAATGTGTTCCTCCACTCTTGTCCACCGGCACCCCAGCCTTCTGTTTACTGCTTCTTGCCTGAACACATCACAGCTAAGAGGAAGCACAGTGCTCTACCCACAAGGCCAGCTGGGACTCAGGAGAGCTGGATTCCATTTCCAGCTCTTCCCCCTGCCTCCCCTTGTGACCTTGGACAAGTCACTGGGTCTCTCTGTGGCTCAATTCCCCATCTGTAAAATCCTGCTCCATTTCACAGGATGGTTCGGAGGATAAACCAATTCCTGTTTGTGAAGTGCACAGATAGCTCACTGATGGGGGCCGTACATGGTAATCAGACAGATCCATCATGGCTACATATACAGTGCAAGCAGAGACCTGGGTTTCTATTTGTGTCACTAGATCACCACTCCTGCTTTTGGGGGATTGGGAAAATAACCATCCTTTTGTGATGTCTGAAATGTTGGTGGGTTTGCAGAGAGTGGGCAGGGAGATGGAGCAGATGTGCCAGTAGCAGTTAAACCAGCTTCACCGAGACGCTTAACAGCTACAAAGTTATCTGTGTAGACACCAAGTATGGGGCATATGCTGCGAGATGGACGAATACCTTCAAACATGGGAGTTGCTGGATCCTCCTAGCTGACCCCTACAACTCTGACCTAACTCTCCACATGTTAAATCAATTGGCCCCCATTCCCATGGGGGGCTGTCAGGACAGACATCTCAGCATCCCCAGCGCTGGCCTGTGTGTGGAATCCTGCTCCCTATTAGTCACCTAGGTAACCTCAGATTATCTTGGGTTTAAAACACCTGTGACATTTGGCTTGTCTGTTTATTACGTTTCCATGAGGTTTGCATTTCTGCCCTAATTCCCACTCCCTCCTGTGATGGTGCTAGAGCACCGCCATCGTAATTGAGACTTTGTTAGGCTCTAGGGCCTCAGCCTTGTAATAAGCATTGTGCAAACTGAACCCTGAGCCCATGTGGAGCCTTACTGATTTCAATGGGGATCTAACTCCAGTATCAGTAATGTCAAACTGAACCCTCTCACAGGAGGTGTAGGTTTACGTGAAATGTACACAATTAATGATTTACTTGAAATCTTTCTAAAGAGCAGATGAGCAACAGCTTATACTCAGCCGCTGCGAGGGACCACATAACTCAAAGGTTTCGCCTGGTGTCTATTTATAAGCAAAGGCCAATTTTGCCCAAATAGAAATGCTAAAGCCTCTGAGGATGGCATACTCATTGCTATGCAGCAGTATAAGAGTAATCCCACCTGTGAACCCAACAGTCATGGCAAACACAGACACCACTGGACTGTGTATCAAAGGCCATACAGGATTCACATGATAAAGAAGAAGAAAAGTATTTTTCAGCTTGGTTCTGAGGAACAGGTCTTGTACTTAAAATGAATTAGCTGATTACTTAAGTATTGCTCGCGTTGGAACAGTCGATAGCATCTGCTGCATTCTGCAGATGACAGTACATTCTGTTCCTTAGCATTTTATTCTAACACAATGGCTATAACAAGCTGGCAGAAAATGGATTAAAAACACTTGGCCATTACTTTTTCCTGTAGTTGTTCAGAGAGTAATTTGTAGCTTTAATTAAATATAATGGCTATGATTAAAAAGGAGGCCCTTGATATAAACTTGGTGAGGAAATGCTGCATCTGTAGTTTACCACAGATGATAGTATTTTCAGAGGTTTACAACTTTATTGTTAAAACTTACTTGGAGCTAAAAGTGAACAAACAGCCTGAGATGGCTCTCTAAACAAATGTTTCCAACAGCAGCGTGGTCACTAATGTTATTGCATATTTGTATTGCAAGAACTCTCAGAGGCTATAAGCAGGAACAGAGCCCACTGTGGGAGGTGTGTTACCCACTTCTGATCATCTTGGTTCAGAAAGACGCAAAATAAAACAAATGGCAATAGCCACTGCTGCAGACTGGAATGCGTTCACATGCAGTAGGCTATTCCGATGTGGTAATTCCCCAAGGTTTTCATTATTCAGTAGTTCTACAGCACTCAGAAACAGTGCTCTTGAGAACAAACAGGAAGGTGTGGTCCCTGCCTCAAAGAGCGAACAATCCAAATATTACACATGGCAACAGGTGAGTATAATAGAGAAACAGAAGCAGGAGAGGCGGGGAAAGACAAGGACGATGGTGAAAAGATCACATGGTTGCTCTGGGAGGCACAATTCTGTGTGGTTTTTGTTTCTCTTTTATAACTCCATTTTTGCAGGTGATACAGCTGATGTGAAGGTATAAGGTTCTGTGGATTAGATTATGTGCCAATAACTCTCCAAACTTTGATGTACATCATGGAATCAGGCAGTCTGCCACAATCTTATGTGGATTGATACTTTTTAGATATTTATATTGAATTATTTTTTAAAATAGCCAGATCCTGAGGCTGCTGCATATGCACAGTAATTACTTTTCCTAAGGGTTTTTAGAATGTCTTTAGTGCAGTAAAAAGATTACACACCATTTTATTGCTTAAATGCTGCTAGAGTCAATGATGCAGCTACAATAATATTGTGTGTGTCCGAGAGTATACATTGACATAACGGACAGCAACACTCTTTTAAGCTGTCTTCTGTACCAGTGATCTACAGTGGAGAAGAGTGGTTCTTTTATATATGTCCAGTGCTATTACAAAGAAAAGACAAAGAAAATAAACATACAAAATTGTGTTAAAGGTGCAATAAGACATCAAGGGCAAATGAAGTCAGAACTGAGCCGTGCTATTTTTCACTTGCCCTATTACACCTTGGATTAAAGCACACTGGGTCTCCCAATGTCTCTTGCATTGACCTTTGGCCCTTTTAACATCCGAGCACTGCTGAGCTAGTTCTAGATGAAACAGAAGCCTTAAGAGCACACAAGTGAGGCAAATTAAGATTGAAATCAGACTCATTAACTTCACTTTAAAAAGTGAGCATGTGTGAATCCCTGAGCACAGCAGCCTGGCAGCTGCATTTTCCTTCTCAGGGCTCTGTTCTCCCTGCACCACGTGAGTAACTACCTCAATGGCAACTGAGCATGGCACTGACGGCAGAACAGCTCTCTTGGGTCAAAATTTGTCAAACCTACTTTTAAAGGTACCTTAATACTAACGCTCTATTTAACTGGCTCTCTCATCTAAAGGCAAATCTTACCCGGCAGGCGAGCAAGAGGTGTATTGGGGATCAGATTGCTGCAATAAAGCATTTAAATCACAACTGGTCTAAATAGTCATGCCACTAGTAACCGTGTTATGCAGAACCTTTTGTTCCTATTCTTAATGACTGTTTAAATATATTTGATTAATATTTTCTTCATTAGGCACAGGGATGGGAATTAGCATGTCAAAGAGCTGCAGGGACATCTCAACAGAGTCGTAGATGGAGGGGCTGCTAATTTCTCAACCTGCGGCCCACAATGAGCGACAGGTTGAGAACAGCTGCATTAGATGCTGGGAGTGTAGCAACTATGTGCAGAAGCAAAGCAGCCATTACTTGTTCCTCAGTAGCATGCATGCAGCATTGCCCATGAGAGCCGGGTTAAGTGAGAGAGGGAATGGGAAATAAGAAATGCTTGAAAAAGCCTCTAATGTGCTGATGTTCCCAATAATGGAGGGGGGGGGTAAATAAAATGTAAGCCAGTGAGTCACTCAGCACTGCTTTAATAAGAGCAGGAAAAGTTCCCTGCACTGGGCCTCCAAACTACCCTCCTTCCCCATTTCAAGGCTACAGATGACCAAGCCAAAAGGTGAAGACACGACAACTAGGGTGGCCACATCAGCAAAGCCTCAATCTACAACTCAGCACTTTCCCCACAATGCGGGGAGGAGGGTTTGAGGGAGAGCTGGCTTCTGCCTGGCTGAGGCTGCACTGGGGCGTTGTCAAAACATTAACACTGAGGGGAAAGGGAGAAAATAAGGCACCAAGCAGACCTACTTCATATACAGGCCATGTCACTTCACATCCCTGAAAGGCTCACAAGAAATGCAACTGAAAGAGTATAAATACAGTAGGATTAATTTCAGAAGCCTTGCCTATGGGGAATGGGTAGACTCAAGGCATAGTGGAGCAGAAGAAGGTGGATTAAGATGAATCCAAGAAGCATCTGAATAACGTTCCTCATCACTAAAGTCTAAGTTCCTCCAGGATGGGATGCCCAAGTTGAGGTTAATAATAGTGAGGAATAATTTCCTACTTAATGAACAGAGCTCAAGTGAGAGCAAACAAGAACACAGGGATGATTTGAGAGTATTCCTTGGATTGCTATTGAGGAGAGACAAGCATGTGGGTGGCACCATGTACATTGTATATTGTAGCAATAATCTTCATCCAGAAAAGTGTATCATCTCTCATGTAACTGTCTCGATAAGCCAACTCACCATCTACCAGAGCTGCTTTGACCGGCTCAATTCTGGACACGATTTCTGCCAAGTCAGTGAAAGAGGTACTAGGACAGGTCACAATCTGAAATACAATGCAAAGTACATGTATATTATTCAAATGCACACACAGGAATAAGAAATACAAGGCACGGAAATCGTATTAAACATCAGACACACAGCCACAAAAACGGGAATTCTCAGTGATTGTTGCCATGGATCCTTACCATAGTAACCGGGTTCTCCAAAATGACTACCCTTATGGAGCCCCAGTCTTGGGAGACATGTGCTTGGGTTACAGTCAGCAGTTCCTATTAGGCCCATGTGCACATGCACCCTTTCCCCACACGCTGGGATCCGAGAGAGTAAAAAGGGGAGCTACCCTAATTACCTCCTTCCACTACTCCTGGAATTCATCAGAAGAGACTTCAGAGAAGTGGGACAGAGAGCAAACACCCTAACGAACAGAGAAACGGGGGAGAGCCAATAGGGCAGCGTTAAGAGCCATGAACTGTGTTCGGATCCTGCCACTCCTTTGGCACTCAGAAGGGCTGCTGCGGCCAGTTCCCTTTATACCCTCTCTTCCCAGCACATTGGGAGCGTTGCCTAGATGCTTCCCAGCCTGTGCACCAGAATGTGCATATCAAAGATAGGGACCGTAGACAGGGCCAGGAGACTCGTTCACTCTTTTGCCTCTCTCTCAGATACACACTATGGCTCATACTCATTGGTGGGGGGCTCCCCAGAGAAGACCATGAGTATTGCAGCATGAGGGCAGCCAGCAAAAAGCTGACAAATCCGTAATGATAGCTGTAACTGGCACGATACTATTATGAAACATACATGCTGTGTAGTTGTAGCCATGTCGATCCCAGGATATTAGAAAGACAACGTGGGAGAGGCAATATCTTTTATTGGACCAACTTCTCTTGGTGAGACACAAGCTTTCAAGCCACACAGCACTCTTTTTCAGGGCTGGGAAAGGTACTCCCAGCATCACAGCTAAATGCAAGATGGAATGGTCCCATAGATTCTATGGGGTGCCCAACCTACGGCCTACAGGCTGTACATGGCCCATTAGAGCATTTCATACGGCCCACAGCCTGCTTCAACACAATATTCGAATGGCTTATTCATTAGCATTTTGTCGTCATGTTTATATCATTTTAATTTACACAAGTGTGTAAATAGACAATACGGTACACAGAAACAACCTATCTAAATACATACAAAACAAGCTGAACTTAAAATCTCAATCAATACAAAGTGACTTTAAATCTGTGCTTAGGTTTATGTGGCCCCTCTGTGTAATAAGGTTGGGCACCACTGTCTTAGAATATGTACTCACTACTTATACTAAACAATCTGTTCCACCCTGCATTTAGCTGTGATGCTGGGAATACTGTTCCCAGAGCTGAAGAAGAGCTCTGTGTGGCTTAAAAGCTTGTCTCTCTCACCAACAGAAATTGGTCCAATAGAAGATATTACCTCGTCCACCTTGTCTCTTTATGAAATGTACAGGGAGGCTCCCAGCACAGCCCTAAAATCCACTGTGTTGGGGAAATCACACTTAGAACTGGGGGCACCTCATGCTCATCACCTCATGCACTTTTAAAGTTATCCAGTGAGCTGGTAATATTTGATGCAATACAGGATGTTTTAGGACGGATAGGAAAGCAGCAGCAGCTTTATTTCTTGGAGTTGGACTTAATACTACTTTAGCTAACAGCAGCAGCTTCTTTTACTACCTTGCAAAATCACTTGTTTTCAGAAGTGAAAAACGTACACAGTGAGCTGGGCAGAGTTTAAGTCTAATTCAAGTGGTTAATAACATCCTCCAGGATATGAGGTTTGCTCAGTTAGAGATTCAGATAATTTCAGACAGATTTTGCTAGAACAGTCAAAACTGTAAAAAAAAAAAAACCCCTCACAAATCAAACACTCAGTCTAAAATCTGGGTTTTATCACTACAGCTTCCAGGTCAGTAGTTCATTAACATTGTCTCCACTACAAGTAAAGCAGCCATGTATGACTAAGTATGACCAGATATGACCAAGGCTAAGTCTGGTTATAAAACCATGTTCATACCATGTTTGTAACCAGGTCAGGGAATATCTATGTTGTACGAAGGTTCTCTGGCACAGTTATATTTGTAGTGTAAACAGGGCCTTAATCATGTGATCTCCATGTGAATGTGTTATTCCTTGATTTTAGCAAAGCTTTTGATACGGTCTCCCACAGTATTCTTGCCGGCAAGTTAAAGAAGTATTGGCTGGATGAATGGACTATAAGGTGGATAGAAAGCTGGCTAGATTGTCGGGCTCAACGGGTAGTGATCAATGACTCCATGTCCAGTTGGCAGCCGGTTTCAAGCGGAGTGCCCCAAGGGTCGGTCCTGGGGCCAGTTTTGTTCAGTATCTTCATTAATGATCTGGAGGATGGCGTGGACTGCACCCTCAGCAAGTTTGCAGATGATACTAAACCGGGAGGAGTGGTAGATACGCTGGACGGTAGGGATAGGATACAGAGGGACCTAGACAAATTAGAGGATTGGGCCAAAAGAAATCTGATGAGGTTCAACAAGGACAAGTGCAGAGTCCTGCACTTAGGACGGAAGAATCCCATGCACTGCTACCGACTAGGGACCGAATGGCTAGGAAGCAGTTCTGCAGAAAAGGACCTAGGGGTTACAGTGGACAAGAAGCTGGATATGAGTCAACAGTATGCCCTTGTTGCCAAGAAGGCTAACGGCATTTTGGGCTGTATAAGTAGGGGCATTGCCAGCAGATCGAGGGACATGATCATTCCCCTCTATTTGACATTGCTGAGGCCTCATCTGGAGTACTGTGTCCAGTTTTGGGCCCCACACTACAAGAAGGATGTGGAAAAATTGGAAAGAGTCCAGCGGAGAGCAACAAAAATGATTAGGGGGCTGGAGCACATGACTTATGAGGAGAGGCTGAGGGAACTGGGATTGTTTAGTCTGCAGAAGAGAAGAATGAGGGGGGGATTTGATAGCTGCTTTCAACTACCTTAAAAGGGGGTTCCAAAGAGGATGGATCTAGACTGTTCTCAGTGGTAGCAGACGACAGAACAAGGAGTAATGGTCTCAAGTTGCAGTTGGGGAGGTTTAGGTTGGATATTAGGAAAAACTTTTTCACTAGGAGGGTAGTGAAGCACTGGAATGGGTTACCCAGGGAGGTGGTGGAATCTCCTTCCTTAGAGGTTTTTAAGGTCAGGCTTGACAAAGCCCTGGCTGGGATGATTTAGTTGGGGATTGGTCCTGCCATGAGCAGGGGGTTGGACTAGATGACCTCCTGAGGTCCCTTCCAACCTTGATATTCTATGATTCTATGATTCTCCTCACCTACCAATCAGCATCCAAGGAGTCCTAAAAGCTGGGAATCAGAATTTTATCTTGCTGAGCTTAACTTCTCTCAGAATTCAGAGGACACTGGGCTCTTTAGGCCAGATGAAGAGATTCCCCTTCAGCAGAGCCTCCCATTACAGCCCAAGTGTGGAGGCAGAGCTGGACACAGCACTAGGCAATCTACAAATGCTTTTTTATTGTTTATGAAATTTATAATTCAATCCCCATTACTACAGGTGGGTGGGTAGCACAAGCCTATTAAAGCTGCCTGCCACATCCCATTATAAGACCCTGTTTTCCATCGCTCATAACTTTACTAAACGTTAGGGAACAAAAGCTGGACAGGGAAGAGGGAAAGGAGTAGATTAGGTCAAGCCATCTGGTGAGACTGGAACTCGAGTCGTGTGCAGAGAAACTAGGAATGGTTGGGCAAGGCCATTGGGGTGAGGAAGGGAGGTTGGTACTGGTAAGGTAAGGAGACTAGTACTGGGAGCTGAGGTGGGGAGGACTAGGACTGAGAGCTGGTGAGAGAAACATGGGGGATGGAGACTAGAAGCCTGTTGGCTGGGGGGAAGAAACGCTGAGATTGGATGAGGAGCTGGTGGGATAGGAGGAGACTGGGACTGGCTGTGCAAGGAGACTGCGAGTGAGTGTGGGAAGTGGGAGACTGTGATTTAAATAGTAAGCCCAGAGGGGGAGACTAGGACTGGTTGGACAAGGAGCCTGGGACTGGAAAGCAAGGAAGACAGGACTGGGGAAGAGACAGAACTGGGATAGATTGGAAGTGATGCGGCAGAAGAGGACTTGCTTGGGGGAAAGCAGGCAGAAGAATCTGTGCTCACTAGCACACATTCCCCTACAGAGCCTGGAATGGAGCCCAAGATTCCAGAGTCTCACTCTTCCTTTGCTGTCAGAAACCTACTGGCAAAGTTGTGTCTCATTCACCTCTATTGCTGGTTCACATAGCGTATGACAACCTACTACTGCTATCAGGTACTCCATTAGCTCAGTGGCAGAGATCCATGCGGTGGATCTAAATGTTCCAAACCTGCTGAGGAACCATGTGGGTGTCAATGATGATACACAATGAAATTTCTGTTTTTTCAGTTTGATTTTTAAAACCCCTAGGAAATTATACACAAAAAAGGCCATAAAGGTTGCAAAGTCAAGAGCTCAAAAGTTAGAAAATATCAGAATTAAGGCTGTCTGTGCACCCTTAATTCGGCCCCCTTGCGTGTATCCATTATGACAGTTTTTAAATTACATAAGCGCATACTATTTCCCCACTGCACCCTGCCCCATTCAGTTCACAGGATGGATGAGTCTCACTTAACGAGCAGCTATTCAATATTTTGTTTCATTTTCACTATCAATGTGTAGCTCAATCTGTTCCCAACCTGCCCCCGCCCATGGAAGGACCCACCTACAGAGGGCAGACAACAATGTAGTCTTCAGTCCCCTTCGATCCTTGGCCTCTGCTGTGACAAGACAACAAGGCGGCCAATTAGTGGTCACTGCCATGGTGGTTCATCATAGAATGATAGAATATCAGGGTTGGAAGGGACCTCAGGAGATCATCTAGTCCAACCCCCGGCTCAAAGCAGGACCAATCCCCAGACAGATTTTTTTACCCCAGTTCCCTAAATGGCCCCCTCAAGGATTGAACTCACAACCCTGGGTTTAGCAGGCCAATACTCAAACCACTGAGCTATCCC